AGCCTTACAAGTATGGGCCCTCTCAGACTTTCCGTCCCTTCCGGGCTATTTCCCGTGCTCATCCCTTTATGGAAACATAGATTTCTTATTTTGGAGGATAGAAAAAAAGGCGCTACCTGCCCCCCAAAGAGATATCTTCCCATGAATCATTTGGTACATTTGGAAGGCAAGAAATGACAGGATTTTTAAGGAAAAATCGTATTCCCCCTAGACACCCTTTAACACTCTATGATCGAAGCAGAAGAATTGCGAAAAGCAAATGAAAAAGACAATGAAGAGGAGGGACAAGAAGGGAGGGACCCAAACAATGAGAGCGAGGTCTTGGAGATCCCCCAAGTCCCAACCTGCCAGATCGATGCCTCTTGGGTCAACCATGGACCGGTTAGTGGCCTTGGGTGGCATCTGACGGACACACTTTGGACACACCTCTACCGGACAACAAGCATGTCGACGAAGCCTCTCAGCCTTACATGTGGAACTCGATGGACTACTATGGGCCATGGCTTGCTTAAGGGACAAGGGATTCGAGAGAGTATGTTTTGAGACAGACTGCTCTAACCTACTTCAGATGACAGAGGATCCGGACGAGTGGCCTGCCTTCAGATCAGAATTAGACTATTTTAATACCCTTAGAGATACTTTTGTAGCCTGTAATATTTGTGTTATACCCCGATGCCAGAAAGTTCGTGCTGATTTTCTTGCCAAGAGTGCAAGAGCACGATGTCACGGACTTGATATTTGGGATCAATTCTGTGCGGCCCTAGCCTCTCTTTGCCCCAGCAAATAGACTAGGCAGCCTGACTCACAAGAAAACCCAACCCTTTTTAGACAGAACTTGAAAGAAAGAAGGGAAAATGTTTGAATAACTCTCTTATTCAAGAAATGAGTGAATGATTACAAATGAGGGATCTCACCCCTATTTATACAAAAGCACCTCCAAGATGGATGGTGAGGATCAACTTGATCTAAGGGCTCATATTGAAGATATGGCCTTAACTCCAAGATCTACAACTAATGAGGGCGGATTTGTAGGGATTTATGGGTTGACTGAGCAGATTCTTTGGGATCCTCATAATTGTCATCAACCTTTTAGAAGTCCTTACAAAGCCAGCCATCGTGATAACCTCGAGTAGAGCCTTGCTGGTCCGGTCCAAATAGATGCTATGCAAAATGGACCGTGACATTCTCCCCCACCTAATTCGGCAACGCCCTCGTTGTCGTGAAAGTCTTGTGCTGGTCTGTGAGTTGCCATAGTTCGTTCTCCGGCTCACATTTTGCTGCCTCTCGTCACCCCTTTTTCCATCCGTTTGCGGGACTTCTTCAAACAAACCCGGGCAATGTTAGGATGATCATCCCATGTTCTGACCATCTTAACCACTTCTCGACCTTTTGACTTGACCATCGGTGTGACCAAGGTCTGCTGAGTTAACTCCAATAGCTCCACGAGTTCTTTGGTTTCCCCTTTGTCTTGCTGACACAACAGGTAAGTCTTCCCCAACTCTTTGCCAGTGGTATCAGGGTTTAATCCTTCCCGATCCTGAGCCACGACCGTATCCAGGGCATGACTGATCGCCGGAAGATCTGCATGACTGGAGGGAGCTATGTGATGTGGTGGCTTGACTCCTACTTCCATCTCAATCTGATGAACTACCTCCCTCCTTGGTGGTAGCTCCTTGGGCAGCTCAGGTGGCATGATGTCTTTGTTCTGCTGAAAGACTGCCTTGATCATGGGTGAAGAGATACTTTCTTCCCCTATCCCATCATCCACTTTCTTTACTTCCTTGGTGAGTTGCATCGCCGAGAGCTGCCTGTTCATGTCCCTTTTCTCATTGGGTGACTTCACGGTCGGGATCATGCATACTGAACCCTTTTCAAGTATACAGACTATGTTAAGGGCAGGCATTGGGATCGCCGAGAATTTCCTCTGAAAGTCTAAACCCAGCACTACCTTGAAGTCATCCATTTGCACCACTGAGAAGTTCACCGGACCCTTCCAAGCTCCCACACTAAGCTTGACATCCCTGGCGACTCCCTGTAGTGGTTTGGCTTTGGTGTTCACTGCTTTCAGCCAACCCTCACCCTTGGTCCATGTGAGACCAAGTCTTCTTGCTTCCTCAACTGATATGAAATTATGGGTTGCGCCCGTGTCCACCATCGCTTGTGTTGGTTGCCCGTTAATGACGACTTCAACATACATCAATCCCTTACTTGTTACTTTGGACACTGGAGTTGTCCTTAGGGCATTGAGCAGTTGAAGAGATCCCATTATCTCGACCTCCTCCTCTTGAGCTTCGGCCGCTCTTTGCTCAAGAAGGGCGGACAAAGAACCCAGTTTTGGGCACTCCCTTGCTGGGTGTGGTCCCTTGCACACATAACATCCGCTTTTCGGTACAAAAGTGCGCTTCTTCGCCTCGTACTCTTCACGCCTCGAATCTCTTCCCTGGTTCCGAGCCTCATACCCGTCACGCCTCGAGTCTCTTCCCTGGTTCTGAGTGTTAGACGGTGTCACCTGGTCCTGCTTCTCTTCCTCCAAAGGTCGAACCACCTTTTCTTTTCTCTTGAAGTCCTCTGTCTGGTTTTCCTCATAAAAATCAGAAAGAGATTCAGCCGCGGCAATGGCTTCGTCCACAGACTTCACTCCACGCTGCTGCAACTCCTGTTTAGCCCATCCTTGGAGCCTATCCACGAAATGAAACACCAAGTCTTGGTCGGACAGATTTGGAATCTGCAATGAGAGAGTAGTGAAATCCTTGACATACTCTCGGATTCTACCCCTCTGTCAAAGTTCCCTCAACTTCCTCTGAGCCTCATAGACAACATTCTCCGGATAGAACTGCCGTTTGAGTTCCTTCCTGAACTCCTCCCACGTGTTCATCTGGCATGTGCCCCTCTCAATGTCACTATGGCGCCTCCGCCACCACAGCATGGCCGTATCCGTGAGGTAGGATGTGGCCGCCTTGATCTTTGCCGACTCATTGGTAAGACCAAGATTATCAAAGTACTGCTCCATTTGCCATAGGAAGTTCTCAACTTCCTTAGCATCCCTTGAGCCATCAAAACGGGAGGGTCTCGGGAAATCCACTATTCCCGTCCCGGGGTTGTTGGTACCTCCATTGGCAACTGCCTTCTTGCACAATGCGAGATCTTCTTGCATCACCTCGATGCTCACCTTCAACGACTGGACCTCCCCCATCACTGTCTCCTCCAACCTGGTGAATCGCCCCTCGATCCCACCCAAGTCATTCTTGACTTCTGCCATCTCGTTGAACAGTGCGTTCTCGAGTTCAGAAATCGAGTGTTCGACTCGCTCTAGTCGTTCACCCATATCGGTAATGGCTATCCCCATAGCCCCGACCTCATCACGGACCTTTCTCCTGTCGCGCTTCCTCCTGGTAATGTTCTCAAGGCCGTCCTGGTCTTCGCCTCCATCGGTACTCCTGAGAACATCCTCGGTGTTCGACATTGCTCGGCCTTTGAACGGAACTCGTCTCTGATACCACATGTCACGGACTTGATATTTGGGATCAATTCTGTGTGGCCCTAGCCTCTCTTTGCCCCAGCAAATAGACTAGGCAGCCTGACTCACAAGAAAACCCAACCCTTTTTAGACAGAACTTGAAAGAAAGAAGGGAAAATGTTTGAATAGCTCTCTTATTCAAGAAATGAGTGAGTGATTACAAATGAGGGATCTCACCCCTATTTATACAAAAACACCTCCAAAATGGATGGTGAGGATCAACTTGATCTAAGGGCTCATATTGAAGATATGACCTTAACTCCAAGATCTACAACTAATGAGGGCGGATTTGTAGGGATTTATGGGTTGACTGAGCAGATTCTTTGAGATCTTCATAATTGCCATTAACCTTCTAGAAGCCCTTACAAAGTCAGCCATCGTGATAACCTCAAGTAGAGCCTTGCTGGTCCGGTCCAAATAGATGCTATGCAAAATGGAGCGTGACAACGAGGTATCCTTTTCTCCCATGTAGATCATATCCAGTTATTAGAAACGGAATCTACTGATCCCGCTACTAGTAACCAACCTTGATCTAATAAATGGATGTATGTTGACAAAGAAAAAGAATAAAAATATTTTGTACAACAAAAATAAATAAAAAATAAATATTTTGTCTATGAACAAATGAAAAAAGACAAAGTTTATTAAACATAACTGATATAATTTAGAATTTTAACTTTTAAACATAAATATCATTGTGCACATCATCAACCGCACTAACCAATCAAGTCTTTAAACATCTTAGTTCTTTTGTTATTAAAGTATTACCCCAAATCTTTTAATATTTACAGAAGTAATCCACCATACCTTTTGATAATTAACAAAAGACATTAATCTTTTAGTATTTACCCAAAACACTCCAAACTTTTGGTATTTACCAAATATACTCAAATTCTTTAATATTTATTAAAATACCTCAGATCGGTCAGTACAGTTTTATTACCGTAGTTTGATATACATTGACTCGACTACGTGCAGAAAAGGCATCTTTAGAAGCATATACAAAAAAATTGGGATTGAGTGTGACTAGGTGTGAAAGATCAGAGCCGTGCCTATACGTTTTAAGGCCGTAAGCAAAAATATATATATATTTTTTTATGGCAAATAGAATATATACAAATATAGATAAAAATAACTAACAAATGTGTTGTATTGGTAAATAAAAGAAAACTAACAAAAATGTTGGTAAAAGAAAGTACATACAAAATCAATAATATCGAATCGATTTATCAATATTGATGATGCAAATTGAGAATATTTTTCTGGAATTCACTCTATACTAACAAACTTAAACGTATAATATTTATCTCGAGAGTTATGATGGATTGAGCTTTTTGATTTCATGAAAAAAATATTTACTGTCTATTTATGGAAGTACCACATAAACATAATTACAGTTATAGCTTACGAAAATTTTGTATAAATTTTTAGACCTAGGCAAAAGTTTCTTTTGTTTCCATGTAGGCACGGCCCTTTGGAAGATGCATCTTTAGATACAAATTTTTGGAAGATTTCATTCCTATTCATTCTTATTAGTTTGTTCATCTTCATTTGTTTCTTTTTAATTTCTACTATTTATCAATTTTCCAGTTAGATATATAGAATATACATCAAAACGATGATCGAATGTGACATTGGTTGGGATCCATCTGACAGAATACGTAAAGGCCACCGTCCTCCCTACTTCTAATGGCCTTGGCAATGATAGAAAGAGCTTCACATGAATAATCTGCATGAAGAAAAAAAAATCACAGGAAATGAGGTTCTAGACCACTTAAAAACCTTAGTGTGTTATTTTGTTGTGTTTGTGCAGAACAAAATTCCCTTTGCATTTGCAATTTGTAAATGACTTTGATAAAAAAAAAAAACATTCTATAATTCCTTTTTAAGGAAATATGAAGATGTTTTAATTAGTATTTGTTTAAACCAATCAAGAACCTAGTGTCAAAGAAACCACAGACCTGGTCATTGTTGTATTCGACAACTATTTTCTTATGGGTGTAAAGGATATGCTTATTGCCGGTGTACTCACTAGGCACGTCTCCCACAACGCCTATAACACACCAAAATAATTTAGGTAAACAAATTATGTCAAGAACAGAAAATGAAAACCAATAGATTTTCTAGGTTCCAAGTGAAATAATAATACCAAATAACATACCCCACAATGGAAGATCATCTACACTTGCATCCATCAGATGTAAGAAAACGAAGCGAGACAGCAAAAAAAAGGTTAGCAAAACAAGAATGATGCTTATAAGATTTTAGTTTCCACCACTGATGTAAACATTAGTCAAGCGTATGCAAAATGCTTCCCTTGATGGTTCATAGACTTTCAAATAATAACAAAAAGTGACATTTTTCGAATATCTACATTCTTTTTCTTTTTATACTTGTTCATCAATCATCAGTAATATGACAAGTAAACTAAACAGGATACGTGTAACGTACCCATGAAGAACTCAAACCAGAACTCATTTTCTATGGCGTTTTTGAAATGCTTGACTTTAGCTTTATCGAGTTTCAGTCGACAGATCACGCTTCTATGAACATTTCCTAGGAGGAAAAACAGACGATCACGGTGATATATAAGTCCAAACGCAATATTCAAGATAACCATAATGAAGAAACTAGCATATATAAGAATCAAAACATACTCAAGAACTTGATGTTGATCTGGCTGTTGACAAGCTCATTTTCACCAAAAATCCAACCAAGACCACCCCATTTGTGAACACTACTGTTCTTAGATGGTCGGCAAAACGGAAGGCTATAATAGTCATATCTTTCTTGTGGGTTACTATGGAACCCATCATAACATGGTCCAATTTTGTTCGCCCATATGGTAACTTGCTCATCAGCACGATACTGGAAAAGTCAAAGCAAAAGACCAAACTTCATGACTTGAAAGAAACCTAAACAACACATAATGATTTCAGGTGATTCCTCTACTCATCAGAGTCTCAGGTCAACGTGAATTAGAAAGTAACCTACCTAACATTGAAGAAATGAAAATCGCAAAATCTACAGATCGATCCTAATTTAACCTTGTGATCTAACTCGAAGGCCAAAGCTGGAGAGAGGAGAAGGCAGACGTAGACGGCGGAGGAGTAAATCGAGAGGAGTAGTTTGACGGTGGAGGAAGACGGCATGTCGGAGACTGTGTTTCTCTCTGTCTTTCTTTAGAACTTTAACGAAACAACTCAAAATGTCAACGCTTTGACGAAAAGATCACACAACACATACACATGGCCACATGCATAGGTTATTTATATATTTTAATTTCAAAAGAAACTAGATATTTTATAATTCGTAGCATAAATTCATCTATTTATGTGAAATGGTTCCTTTTGTTTTCATTGAAAGAATCCTAAATGGAACCACACTTCATCCATCTCTCCAGATCTTGTTTTTGTTCGTTGAGTATAAAATCCCCAAATCTTGTATTACTTGTTTCTTTTCTCACACGTCATCTTATATCGATACATTTAACTTTTAGGTTAAACCAGAACAAGAGGTTCACACTGCAAGAATGACATTCTCAGACAAAACCCGAACTCTTATTCCATGAGAAGCTCATCGTAAGAAAAGTGTAATACATACCCAAGATAAAGTGTCCCAACGATTGTTACTAACATAACAAGAAGAAGAAGGAAAACCAACTGTGCACCTGTACCAACAGCAGCCGAGATAAGAACCAGAACACGTGGTGGTCCGTGAGGTTGATGTGGAGACATCACCACCAACCTCTCCATGACACCGTCTTCTTCTTGATGAGCATACTTCCTATTGTCATTTCTGAGAGTCTTCACTATTATCATTGAGACTATAAAGCCTATCAAATCCAATGAGATAGACAAAACATCTTATGTCTCAATATCGAAATTGAAAATTTGGATGTTGTTCAAAGCGAATATAATAAAATATCATACCCCACATAGGCAGATCATCTGAACATATCCATCCACGTTTCCCATATACATCATTTGTGAGTAAAAAAGATGCAAGACCAACAAAGGATGCTTAATTTTTTGATATAATAAGGGATGCACTAAAACTCATTTTAAACAATGTTAATTAACCAAGCAAAAACTATTTTCATCGGTAATACTTACAAATAGATTTGATACATACCTATATATAATTCAAACCAGTATCTATTTTCGATTGCATCTTTGAATTGCTTGACCTTATCTTCATCAAGTTTTAATTGACATATCAAGCTTTTGTCAACATTTTCTGGGAGGAAAACAGACGAAACCAAGCTTAATATAACTTCTTGCACAATCAAGATAACAATTATGAAAGAGAAATTAATTAACATACTCAAGAACGCTATCCCTATCAGGCTGTGCATGATCTCAACTCCACCAAGAACCTCGCCAATTGCATTCGTTTCAATGTAGTTTTCAGCTCGATTGCAAAAAGGAAGACTATAATAGTTATATGTTTCTTTTGGATTATTATATGGACCAACTGTTCTTGTCCACAGAGTAACCTGCTCACCAACTTGATACTGGAAATGTAAAAGCAAATATCCAAATTTCATGACATCAGAGAAATGATAGAAGATGGAACAAAAACATTGAGATGAATAATGGAGCTCTTGGCTTGTGGTTGTGTGCGACGTGTTGTATGTTTGGTGTTTTGTCAATGAAGACATTACAAATATTGTTGCTGCAACAGTATTTTTTCCTAAACAATATAAGAAAGACTACTTTTTTTTTTCTTAGCTGACTACAAAATTGCCACTGTTAATGCATGATCTACTTTATAAGAATATATCATATCAAACAGAAAAGAAGCGGAAATTTCAGTTAACGTTGAGCTAACTAGTTGTTTCAAGAATAACTTTACAAGAAAATCTCTCAATGGGGAAACAATGGCGATCTAACTCTAACCTTGTGATCTGACTCGGAGGCCAATGCCGGAGAGAGAAGAAGGAAGACAAAGACTGTGCTGTAGTAAACCGAGAAGAAATTTTCCGGCGGCATGATGAACTCCGGCGTAGGATTAGATCTGAAGGAGACAGAGATGACGGTGGAAATGTGTTTGACGAATGACTCATTGACTCGTCTCGGTGAAACGATTCCAGAAAGCGCAGTACCAGAGTTTAATCGTCGATTAAAATATTACTTGCATCACACTAACCAAAGTATGCTTTTTATTTTACTATTTCTTAGCATCTATTTGATTAAACAAGAGTTAACAAAGCCATTAGAAAAATATCAGTGATACGATTACAGTTTCATAATCACTCAAATATACACGATGCTTTATTTTGTAATATCCTATCCCTAACCAGTGAGATTTGTTGAGACTTGAGACCTACGACTTTAGTTTAAAAAATGTTGCTCGGCTCCAAATACAAATGTGCCAATCTCATCAACACTTGCAAATTCTTGTCAGGCTCTTCGTGCTGCAAATTCAAGTGTTTTTTTTTTGTTAACCTTACAAATTAAAGTGTCACAGACTATATCAAATAATCTACAAAGATATGTATATATTTCTTTGGTTTTTATATTTTAACTTAGGCCAGAGACACTCCGAAAGCAGATTTCTAAACAAGTTTTCTACCAAATCAACAGCAAGTCAATGTTGACTACTTTTCTTCATATAAATCCAGAAGAAGTTTGCTCAAATCGACTTTCCCTGAAGTGACTATCTGGATTATCCAGTAGAAAAGTCGTATTCAGATTAGATCATGCGTAATGTATAATATTACAACTTTTTGACCGTTAGGTACAATCACAATCTATATAATTTTTTGTTTAAAGAAAATAAACCAATAGAGATAATTTTTATATCCATATAATGACATTTTTGTTATATGTTTTGTAGTATAACATTTGTTTACCAGTTGTTTTCATATAATCTGCAATTGAAGAAAATGATAAGATAACGAAAGTACAGACGCAATTCTACGACACAACCATATCGAAGTCTCAGTCAGCAAAGGAAACATCGAATTGATTGAAATGAAATTGTGGGCCCCATGTTATTAATAATACATTCTCTATAATTAAAAACATTAATAAATCAAATAAAAAAAAAAGGCATCGTGACTTCGTGAGAACAGGCCAGCGCAAGGAGCGACGCCGATTACTGCATCATCATCATCATCAAATTCATTTCATCATCATCGTTGTAATCATTATCTCATTCTCTTGAAATTTTCTTCGCGGATAAGAGAAGGAAGAAATAATATAAGATTATCAATCGACTAGACGATTCGCCGCTTTGCTTTTCAAAATCTCTTAAATCCATTTCTCACTCTCCTTCGGACTTTTCGTCGCCACTTTTTTTCTTTCTTTCCGCCTTTAGGATTCGCGGAAGTCTCTGAATCGTATTGTTGAAATCGGGTTTTCGTGAGCTGGGTATTGTCTTGTTTTCGAATTTCAAGTGAAATCAGTGTGTGTGTTATGAATTGGTAAGGGGATATAATGAACTGAAGTTGAATTTTACTTTGAAATTTTCGAGTTTTTGTTTTCTGGGGGGGGATTTTTTCCTGGGTTGTGTTGTGGGGGATTAGGGTTTGTTGAATTTTGGTTGCCGCGAGAAAAATGGAGAAGTACGAGCTGGTTAAAGACATCGGTTCTGGGAATTTTGGAGTGGCTAGACTCATGAGGGTCAAAAACTCCAAGGAACTCGTTGCCATGAAGTACATCGAGCGTGGCCCAAAGGTTTCTTTATTTATCTCTTACTGTTTCGTTTTTCTTTCTTTCTGGAATTACTTCCCTATACATGGATTTGCGTGTAATTTGCTAGTTCGAATGTTCTTCTGAGCTCGTGGGGTGTGATTTTCAGATTCCCAGATGATAAGAAGACCGATTTTTCTTAGGTTACTCAGAGATGTTGTATTGTTGTCTTCTAAGGTCAAAGATTTGAGTTTTTTTTTTCTGGTTTTGTTTTGGTTTGTAGATTGATGAGAACGTGGCGAGAGAGATTATCAACCACAGATCACTTCGCCATCCAAATATAATCCGGTTTAAAGAGGCGAGTGCATTTTCTACACCTTTTATGGGTTGAATGTTTAAGGCAATGGTGTGAAAAAAGAGTCTCAGCTGAAGTTGGTTTATCTTCACAGCTCGCAACTCCTAAAGGTTTTATCTTTTTTGGCTTTGACAGGTTGTTTTGACACCAACTCATATCGCCATTGTCATGGAATATGCTGCTGGAGGTGAACTATTTGAGCGTATATGTAGCGCTGGGAGATTCAGTGAGGATGAGGTGAGTTTGGTATTTAGAGATTAAAAGACATTGGGTACTACTATACGGTCCAGTTTCTAGAGTTCTGTATGGTCTAAAATCAATTGAGAGGAATGAAGAGAGGAAAATATGGAGATATGCTATTTTGTATTATCTAGCGTGGGAAACAAACGAGATATGTGATCTAGTTTGTAGATCATTTGTAGTAGCTGCTCTGATTAGGAGATTCAAGCTTTTTTTGTGCTCATCTTTTTTTTTTCTTCCAGGCAAGATACTTTTTCCAGCAGCTTATATCAGGAGTCAGCTATTGCCATGCTATGGTAAGGAATGACTTGCAAAGTTTTTCTTTTTAACTTCCGCAGACTTTATTTAATCAGACTTTGTACTCACAATATTTTCCTTATTGTCACAGCAAATATGCCACAGAGATCTGAAGCTAGAAAATACTCTCTTGGATGGAAGTCCTGCTCCACGTCTGAAGATCTGTGATTTTGGCTATTCCAAGGTCTGGCATATATCTCTTGCATTTCAGCGTTTCTAGTGATTTCTTGATTACTCTTCGTTATGGACAAGCTCCTCTTTCTGTTCTTTCTCTTCCATTTGCTAGGGCCCTTATCACTTTCACGTGATTTGTTTTTCTTCTTTTGTAGTCCTCACTTCTGCATTCTAGACCCAAATCAACAGTTGGAACTCCAGCATATATTGCACCTGAGGTTCTTTCCCGCAGAGAATATGATGGCAAGGTAATCTTATCTGTATAGAAGTATTGGCATAAGAAGTGTGTTTAGCACCTTATTAGAGACAATGTAGTTTGACACATCGTCTGTGTAGTTATGCAAAGTCTTTCAATTTTGCTCATGCATTACATTTTGACACATTGAGAGTTGAGACCTCTGCGTGTTATAGCAGAGATGAGCCCCATCTTGGCCTTGGTACATATAGACAGTAGTGATTGAGAAAGATTTGTGTTTATAATTTTCCAGGACCAGATGTTTTTCCTTGTCTATTGATTTTCTGATCCGAGTGTCTCAGTGTGTTAATGATAATCTAGCTTTCTCACATTACGCCATGCATAAAGAAGTGGAGGCTGATACAGAAAATTGTGATAATCTTAGTTGTTTGCATTTGGAAACATCATCTTCATTGGAAAATCATCATCAACGGTTTGTATTTGTACTTAAATTTTTTTCCTCTCTCACTCAGATGGCTGATGTATGGTCTTGTGGTGTGACTCTTTACGTCATGCTGGTTGGGGCATACCCATTCGAAGACCAAGAGGATCCCAAGAACTTCAGAAAAACAATACAAGTAGGTTTCTCCTGTTTTGCACACTTTGCTTTAAGAAATGACACGACCCAGTAATCTTTGTGCGATTGTGCCACATTTTTACAGAGAATAATGGGTGTCCAGTACAAGATCCCGGACTATGTCCATATCTCACAAGATTGCAAACATCTTCTCTCTCGTATATTTGTCGCCAATGCAATGAAGGTATCACCACTCTCTCTCTCTCTCAAAAACCTAATCAATCCTTCGTGAGATTATTTTACTTGTATAACTTATTGTTTCTAAATTTCTTTGAAGAGGATTACAATAGCTGAAATCAAGAAACACCCATGGTTCCTAAAGAACCTGCCAAGGGAACTTACAGAGACAGCTCAAGCTGCATACTACAGGAAAGAGAACCCGACATTCTCTCTTCAGAGCGTTGAAAAGATCATGAAGATTGTGGAAGAGGCAAAAACGCCTCCTCCTGTTTCTCGATCAATCGGAGCATTTGGTTGGGGAGGAGAAGAAGATGCTGAGGCCAAGGAGGAAGATGCAGAGGAAGAGCTTGAGGAAGTAGAAGAAGAAGAAGAAGACGAAGAAGATGAGTATGATAAGACGGTGAAGCAAGTGCATGCTAGTGGAGAAGTCCGAGTCATTTAAAAAAAGTTTTCGTTGGTCTGTCGAATCTGTCTCTCGCTCTCTTTTAAGTTTTTTTTCTTTTGGTTGGGTCCGTAATTTTTAAGGTTTCTCTTATGAATGCTTTTGGGGTTTTGCATTTGGAAAGTCTTTGTAAAATCTGCAGTAGAAGAACACAGGTTGATGACGGGGTTCTCTTTGGGCGTTGTGCTCATTAATAAAATTGTCTATGGATTATGTTTTATATTTTTGTATTTAGTGTGTTTGAATTATTTTAATAGAGCTCAATTAGAATTTGCAACATATGTTTGTCTTATGAAGTTTAATGTATGAAGTGATTAATAATCATGTAAATTTCTTTGAAGTAATCTTTTTTTTTTTTGGAACAGTTTCTTTGAATCTTTGGAGTAGGCTGTTGGAACAAATTAATAAAAACATTGTTGGATTTTTTTAATTTGTGTATGTGTAAATAAAAATGTATTATAGACCATATAAATGAAATATTTTTATTGGCTATAATTCTTTGTGTAAACTTAATTTGTGTCATATTGGAAATTTGAAATATTTTCAAAAAGTATAGACTTTATATATATAAGCTTATGCAAACAAGCATATTGTTCATTCGATATCCCATTATATCTGGTTAATAATTTTGAGAATATTTGTTAAACTAGTTCACCAGATCTAAAATCGAATATTGTGGTTGTATTCAGCCATTCATGAATCTTTAATATCTATCATAGTATAGGCGATTCTTTGAGTTAAGAAAATAGATTTTGATCTTAACTCAGTTTCTAATTTATGTTATTTTCGATTTATTGTTTTGAAATTTTCCTTAAATTGGTTTTGTTCGGTTTTAATTATCTGTATTAATTTCGTGATTAAATCAATTTATATCGTAGTTTATAAAATATTGATCTTACAGTTTTAGACAATTCTTTGAGTTAAGACTGAAGATTAATATTTTATATACTACGTTATAAATCAATTGAATCACAAAAGCAATACATATAATCAAAACTGAACACAACGAATTTATGGAGAATTTCAAAACAGTAAACCAGAAATAACATAAACTACAAATAGAGTCAAGATCGAAATCTCTTTCCTTAACTCAAAGAATTGCCTGTAGTGTGACATGTTTAATCACGATTCATGAGTTCCAGAATACAACCGTTTAACTCTGAATCGCAACATTCGAATTCGAGTCTGGCGAACTAACTCTACAAATACTTTCGAAATTACTAACCTGATACAGTGGGAGATCGCATGAACAATGTGTTTGTTTTTGCTATGTTTATTTGATCTCCAATTAAAGATTTTTGGATGTTTCAAAAAAAAGAGGCTTATGACCTGTATATATAAGGTCTAAACTACTTGAAAATATTTCAAGTTTCCGATGTGAGACAAATTAAATTTCTACAAACAATTATAGTCAATAAAAATATCTCCTATACATTAATTGAGAAGCATTTTTAGAGACTAACCTTATTTTTATAAGTATTTACAGTGGTGCTATTTTGTTGATTTGTCATCACCACATTTATTTTCAATAAATATATAAAAATAGGCTTATATTACTAGATTAATTACATGTTCTGTCATTCATATTAATTTGATAACAATAGTTTATATAATTCATTTATATATAATTCAGCATTTAATGTAGTAACATATTCTCTTTCTTTCTATACCTTATTAAAAATGTACCATATTCAATATTTCTTTAATTATATTTTCTTTTTATTTAAACGTAGTTTTGTTAAATAAATAAATTATCACATCATCCATATAATAAAAAAATAGATTTGTTTGTATATGTGTTATAATTCAAAAATTTTAAAATACAAATAAATTACTTAAATTATAAATAAATAAAAGTATGTTTTATTAAAATTCATACATTAGAAATAAAGATGTGTAGATTAATAGATGGTTCAAAAATTATTGGAAAAAATAAAAATGGTAAATTGCAAAAATAAGAAGCTTGATTTAATTGAGATTTATATTAATATATTTTTGGTTTAATATGTTTTTTAATAGAGCCATATAAATTAATCAAATAGTATAAATACTTAAATATAATAAAAATATCAAAATATTATTTAAAAATTTGAAATATAAAATATAGTTAAATATATTGAAAGAGTCTAATATTATGAATATTTTAGTTTTGTAAATTAAGTGAAATTATTTTAAAATTTTAATTTATACAAACAAAATAACTTGGTTAAAAAATTAATTCGTTTTGTTAAAATATTATATAATAATTTAAGGGAATTTTTGAAAAATATCACTTCTCTAATTACTATTTTTAAAACTACCATCAATCAAAATACCATTTTTATTGACCATTATATCCTGTATCACGCTATGGATGAGGTAAGTACTATAATTATTTTGTGTCTATATGATTGCAAAGCAAATTCATGAAGTATAATGTTTATTTTACAGAGAGAAATAAACTCTCGTTCATTCATGGTTCAAAACAACATCCAGATAAATAATGAGAGTTTTATTGCCCATGCTGCCCCACACTTTGTTGTCAATGAGGTATTTTCATGAAGCTGTGGCATGGGTTACAAATTAATTTTTATGAATGAATATACTGTACTCAATGGGACTTACAAAATCTTGCAATGGGCTTTTCAAATTTGCAGTTTGAAGAGAGTTCACTGCTCCATCCATTCCTCCAGTTGTGGTGTGCTTATAAAAAATGAGCCTTTTAAAAGGTTTTATAATCTGTTCATCCCTGATATATATGAATGTTTCTATTCTGCAGAGGCGATCGAATTCAAGTACAATGTCAGGAATTTCACAATTGTCATCATCCCTTGATCCAGGATATGCGGCTCCATCTGGTTCCTCACAATCCGTTGCTTTCGATAATGAAGGTGTGTATTGTGGAAAGCTATTCAAAGACAAAAACGAAATGGGCACGAAGCTATGACTGTTTTCGATGCTTCATAGCTTTGAGTTCTGCACTGAATTATCAGACAGGAAATGGTATGTTCTATGTTGTATTGATGAAAGTTGTAGCTGGAGATTTCGTGCAACATACCGTTTTCTGTCTGATAATTCAGTGCGGAACTTAAAGCTATGAAGCATCGAAAACAGTCGTAACTTCGTGTCCATTTCATTTTTGTCTTTGAATAGCTTTCCACAGTACACACCTTCATTATCGAAAGCAACGGATTGTGAGGAACCAGATGGAGCCGCACGTCCTGGATCAAGGGATAATGACAATTGCAAAATTCCTGACATTATACTTGAATTCGATCGTCTCTGCAGAATAGAAACATCCATATATATCAGGGATGAATAGATTATAAAACCTTTTAAAAGGCTCATTTTTTATAAGCATACACAACTAGAGGAATGGATGGAGCAGTGAAACTCTCTTCAAACTGCAAATTTGAAAAGTCCATTGCAAGATTTTGTAAGTCCCATTGAGTACAGTATATTCATTCATAAAAATTAATTTGTAACCCATGCAAGAGCTTTATGAAAATACCTCATTGACAACAAAGTGTGGGGCAGCAGGGGCAGTAAAACTCTCATTATTTATCTGGATGTTGTTTCGAACCATGAATGAACGAGAGTTTGTTTCTCTCTGTAACATAAACATTATACTTCATGAATTTGCTTTGTAATCATATAGACATAAAATAATTATACTACTTACCTCATCCATAGCACGAAGGGGGCAACGATGGGAGCTAGAAACTTCAGTAGCAGGTTCCATACTCTTTATTTCCTTCACTGTCACACATAACTCAAAAACTCCTCCACTCTCTTGAATCTTGTGCATAAAAGCTTCTAGTTGCCGATCATTCCTAATAACCATAGGAGGGAGATGTTTTGACGCCAAAAGAGAGCTTGAAAGTGATCCATAGCTAAGTTTCAGACCATTGGCATTCCCATCAATTCCAACATCTTCTAAAACAATCGCAACCAGCTCATTGTAAGTTATATTTTCTTAATGAGTATAAAAGAAGCTCTTCTGTCAGGATCAACAACGAACTCCCATTGTGTGGTATTAGTTAAATTCCAAGCTCCACAGACGAAGTATATTTCAAGCATTTCGCCTGATGAAAAAAATATAACAATTTATAAGGGTTTACAAATTTACAAATTCATAGTCGAGAATCTAATCGGAACATCTTCTTCACAAAATTGGATACGTACTTGTCATTAAAACTTATAATTGACAACACATCATCCTTTTCCCTAAAAATCTTATGCAAATAATTATAATTTTCTAGAAAACAAACAAGTTTTTTGCGATTTGACAGAATCAGAAGGGTCATACATTTGGTCAATGAATCCAACAGAATCGCCGGCGAGAGATGATGTGATTCAGTTAGTTAGAACAAATGAATTATAATTTCCCAAGAAATCAACAAGTTTTTTACGATTTGACAGAATTAGAAAGGTCATACATTTGGTCAGTGAATCCAACAGAATCGCCGGCGAAAGATAATGTGACTCAGTCTAAATCGCCGGCAATTTGGATCTTGCCGGCGAGATACTAATTCGACGATCCACGATGATTATCTATCTAATCTTTTGATATCGAGGATTTTTTTGGTTGAAAACATGATACGGAGATATAATGGTCAATAAAAAAATGGTATTTTTAATTGATGATAATTTTGAAAATAGTATTAGAGTATTTTTAATTGATGATAATTTTGAAAATAGTATTAGAGAAGTGTATTTTTCAACCCCAATTAAGCCCAATAATATTTTTATTAATTTTTGTTTCAACATAGACTGGTACATTTATCTTTGACTCACTCTATGTAAGTTCTAAAATTATTGAAAATTTGAATTTTTTCCTTTTTTTTTTACATCCAAAATAATTTTCTTCTTTGTTGTCTGTGACTCTGAGGGAGAGAGAACCTACTCAGACGATCCCGCCATACGAAAACCTCAGAATGATTTAATTGGCCGCACGCTCTTTCTTCTCTCGCCGCTTCGCGATCTTACCGGAGGAGTTTCGCCGCCGGATTTTCACTATTCCGCACAGAAGCAAGAGCGTTACATCCGATTTGATAATGTAATCTCCGCTTCCCGTTTCCCAGTCAATTTCTGTTTTTTTTTTGTTCGCTCTTTCTCATACCGATGCGTTTTTTTTTTTTCCGCCTGCGATTCTGATATTACTGCTGCTAAGTTTTGAGTAATTTTGTCCGGTGTTCGTGTGTCAAAGAGAATCTTCGTTAGTCATAAGCAGATCGCTTCACTTCCGATTTCCACAATTTGGAGAACTTGTTAGCTTCTTCACCATGTTTAATTCTTCGTATTGGTTAGTTCTTCGTTTTGTTGAAGCGGAAGATATGCAGATTATGATATTAAACGTGAAATTTCGCTGTACCTCACTGGAGTACAATTTACTGATCGCAGCTTAAATTTGGTACAATTGTATCAAGAGTTAATGACAATACGCAATTTCTGCATTTTTTTGTTGGATAATCATCACTCATCAGCTCCACTAATCATAATGCCACTTTGTTTTGTTGTTTCTTTGTTGTGAAGTACACTAAATGGTGGTGATAAGAGAAGACAATATTGCTGGAGCTCTTCGGCATGTTAAAACTATGGTCCATGCTAATAAACTGAGGCAAAACTGATATTTCCTATGTACATTTTTGGCTGTATTAATATATTTTCTTTTATTTTTCCTGATTGATCTTGATTTATGGCTGTTGAAATGCAGTGGGAGTCATCTCCCTGTAGTTAAAATATCCAGAGGTCACTTTCCTCATACAAATTGGTCGGAACATGCTAAGGCCTTTGAGTGTATACCATCCTTAATTAAGTCTCTGAGCTCTAATCTCCTCTACTCTCTGGAAAGTCAAAAGCCTAGAAGAAATAGAGGAACAGCTTCAAGGTATTGCAGTATGTTCCTCTGAGGGTCTATCATCTGTTTCTGTTTTTTGATGTTGTTCTTTCGTTTTTCGTATCCCTGGGTCCTGTTCTGTTAGTTGTTTGGTTACTACTGAAGATTGCCTATAACTATTTCCACTGACTTCAAAGATAGTGCTTCACCACTCTTGATCATCTCGTTTTCCCAGCATCGTTTGAATCTTTGTGTCATCACTTTTCGTTTTATCATCTGTTTCTGTTTTTTGATGTTGTTCTTTCGTTTTTCGTATCCCTGGGTCCTGTTCTGTTAGTTGTTTGGTTACTACTGAAGATTGCCTATAACTATTTCCACTGACTTCAAAGATAGTGCTTCACCACTCTTGATCATCTCGTTTTCCCAGCATCGTTTGAATCTTTGTGTCATCACTTTTCCTCATTCTGCATATAGGTAACTCGGGTTATTTGAAAATCTGTCTTATCTATGGATCCATTCTTCAGTGACTTCCAAAACCATTCATGAAAACTAAGCTAGATGTCCATGACAACGTCTTTTGATGAAGACTCTAGTGAGTTCTATATAGTGAAGTGATTCAACAGTTATCTGAAAAACTGGTTCCTATCTCTTTCTAGGCCAATTGACAACATCATCCCTGTAAATGTGCAGACACGCCAACAAATTGCAAAGGTAAAGTGTTGTTGAAGGAAAACTTGTGATGTTTCTTGTGGAATATCTTCTTCCATACTTTACCTTCTTCCCTTTTCCTGTATCTGAGTAAATACTTAAGGTCACTGTAGCTATTGGATTCTGGTTTTTGACAAATTGATCTTTCCCTGGAAGAGAAGTCTCAATTCATTCACTATACACATATGTAAATTGCGCTGTTATCAAATGTTGTCAGGCTTGGTGTGCTCTCACAAATCTCTCAATAGATAATACCTACCTGAGACCTGGCATTACTCCTGCAATTGATGCTAGCAGTACTAATTGTACATCTTCTACGAGAGGAAGATCCACTGTTAAAGTTACATCCAACGCTGATGGATCTTTCTACGCACACAATCATCAAGAGCATAGTCAAAAGAGTGTAAGAGGAACTGCAGGATCTTTTGACCGTTTCTCCTCCTCTTCCCCAGGTGATGGTAAATTAACTGCTGGTAAGGTTACACGGGTAAATAACGAGGTAGACTCAGTAACCGGTTGTAATTACATAAATGGTATGGAGATACAACCAGTCAGAAACTTCGCACTCCCAACTAGGCAGGTGGAAGCTAGTGTTATTGAGATTGATGATGATGATGACATACTCAAGGTAACGTTCTTGATGCAACTAGGGCACCTTTTTGAAATCTAAGCATCTTCCATGATAACAATCGTTTTTTCCTCATTTTGGATTTGTTGTTTGCACCTTTTTGAAGTCTAAGCATCTTTTCCATGAAAACAATCGTTTTTTTCCTCATTTTGGATTCTCACCTGGTAGCCTAGTAAACTGTAACATATTTTATCACAAAGTTAGTAGTAAACTCCTTACAGCTAAATTGGAGTTTGCACCGTTATTCAGTGGATCTAGAATGATATCTTGTGATAATTAGTTGTGCAGAATAAAAAAAATAGATTAACTTAGGCATGTGCTTACTTTGGATCGCAGAATATTGACGTAGACCAAATTGTGATGGAACACTACCGTTCAACGAATACCCTCCAACCATCAGTATCTAAGTTTCCACCAATAGCTCCATCTGTTAATATATTTGCTTCTAGAGGAGAAGAAGAGCCCTGTTTGCCTCCTGAATTATCTTCCAACTGTAGTCATGGAGTCAAGGTATGGCTCTTATTTCTCTTACTTTGTCGATGGTTAATTCATAAACAAATTGGTTTTCTCATTTTGTTTGCTCTAATATCAACACAGCTAGGGCTCTGTCTTGAAGCTTCCACCCATTTGGAACAAATGAAGAACACGCTGCTTGCAATATCAAATCAACTAATTGACGATTCTACTGACCTGAGCGTTGATCATTTTGAACAGCTCTGTCAAGAGAGGTTTGCATTCTCATCAATTATTCCCGTTTTCTTTTCTTTTTTTCTGTTCAGAAAATAATTTGGCTCCTTTCAGAGGCTGTGGTACATTACACAGAAAACTTATCAGGAATTGATGCAGCAAGAAAGAACTAGGCCTAAAGAACAACTGCTATTTGGTTTTTGTTGCATCACAACTAGAGTGTGCCTTGTGTTCTGCGGTAGGTTCTAAGTAGTTGACCCTTGTATTATTGTAGGTTACTGTTGAAAAAGCAAATTCAGCAGCTCGAGATCCTTGTCCAAAATAAAGAAAGGAAAATGTCATCTACTCCTCATATTTTCCAGTATGAAACATCTCAAACAACAAACCACACGGGGGATTATGTGCAAACAGATTCTCGAGCTCATGTAAAAGAACAAGGCAGTTATGTAAGTGATAACTGGAATATGCCAAGGGACTGTTTATTTTCTGAAGATAGGCGCGGTCTTTCATCTGGCCCTGTCGAGAGGGAACGATATGTTCCCAAGATCATAAATGTCACTTATACTGATGGTTCAAATGACAAAAAGTGGAGCAGTCGAGATTTTCCTTGGACGAAGAATCTGGAGGTGATTTATTATCTGCCTTTCGTTGTTCTTTTACTTACTTCCCTCCCGTGTACTCATGTGCTCCATTGCAATGGTTAGGTCAATAACAAAAGAGTGTTTGGAAACCACTCATTTCGACCCAACCAAAGAGAGATCATTAATGCTACAATGAGTGGTTGTGATGTTTTCGTTTTGATGCCAACTGGAGGAGGGAAAAGCTTGACATATCAGGTAACGACATCTTAAATGTTACTTTTATATGACATTTTTATTGTAAAAGCTATTTCTGGCTTTTATTCATAATAAAAGATGACAGTTTTCAAGTTGTGTTCTACAGTGAAAGTTTATAAGCTATTGTTACGCCCTGGTGCAGGATATACGTCAGTGTCAGAAGAGTTGCTCTGTGTTTAGGAACCTCTAAACTGCTTCGTAACATCTTTTTATCTGCAGCTCCCCGCTCTGATCTGTGCAGGAATAACATTAGTCATTTCTCCACTTGTTTCACTCATTCAAGACCAGATAATGAACTTGTTGCAGGTGAGAAACTCAGAAACCCCCTGAAGTGTTGTTTCTGTCGTCTATTTTATTAATAAGTAGAACTCAGAATGTTTGTCCCGGTTTGGTTTCTGAATCATGGTTATAGACCAATATACCTGCAGCTTCCTTAAGTGCCGGAATGGATTGGGCTGAACAACTAGAGATACTTCGGGAGCTGAGCTCTGAGAATTCTAAATACAAGTTACTGTATGTCACACCGGAAAAAGTGGCAAAGTGAGTCATTATTTTCTTTAGTTGTTAATTCTGAAAAGAATGTGACATTAGCATATGCGAAAGTATTGCAAGTCACGCCTATTGAGAAGCTTCTCTTTCCTGACTACAGAAGTGATTCCCTTTTGAGGCACCTTGAAAGCTTAAACTCCCGTAGTTTGCTTGCTCGATTTGTTATCGATGAAGCTCATTGTGTGAGTCAGTGGGGGCATGACTTTCGACCAGACTACCAGGTTAGCCTGTTTAAGGAAACAGATACTCCTCTTACATTACTGTTTTCAAGAAACATAACCTTCCTCTTTTTTTCCTCCAAAACAAAATTCTGGAATATGCAGGGTCTTGGTGTTCTGAAGAAGAAGTTTCCTAACATTCCCATGTTAGCTTTGACAGCTACTGCAACTGCCAGCGTAAAAGAAGATGTTGTGCAAGCTCTTGGCCTGGTTAACTGTGCTGTGTTCCGGCAAAGTTTTAATCGGCCAAATCTATGGTAATATACTGAAATAGCTTAAGCGAATTCTGTTTTCAGAATGTTGCTTAACGAAAAAATTGCAGGTATTCTGTTGTTCCGAAGACAAACAAGTGCTTGGAAGATACTGAGAAGTTTATTAGGGAAAACCATTTTGATGAATCTGGCATTATTTATTGTCTTTCAAGAATGGACTGCGAAAAAGTCACTGAAGCGTTGCGGGTTGGTCGTTTGTTTTGATTTTTTCCTATCTGTTTAATATGGAGGCTTTTACATATTGTGAGCGTACTGCATATATGATGTTCCAATTTGAATGTGCATATTAATTTTCAGAAGCTTGGCCATAAAGCAGCCTTCTACCATGGCAATATGGATCCTGCTCAACGTGCCTTTGTACAGAATCAATGGAGCAAGGATATAATCAATATAATATGTGCCACAGTGGCATTTGGAATGGGTAATGAAAGTGGTCTTTGCTAAAACCACTTTGATCGATTGAAGTTTGCTGCCTGCTAACGTTTGAGTTTCAGGAATCAATAAGCCTGATGTTCGTTTTGTAATTCATCACTCTCTCCCAAAGTCCATAGAAGGGTATCATCAGGTGTCTTATTGAACACTCAATTATGAAATATCTTTTTTTTGTTTACATTAATTGTCCATAAACTGATATCAGCTAGAAACTGATAAGAGATTAATTTTATTTTCATGTAAGGAATGTGGTCGTGCTGGTAGGGACGGCCAGAGGTCATCCTGTGTTTTGTATTACAGTTATAGTGATTATGTAAGTTGCATAAATCTGACACATTATCAAGTTACTACTCTGGAGGAATATATATATGCTATTGGTCATGTTTGTGGTTACAACACATTTTTTTCTCATCTCAGATTCGAGTTAAGCATATGATTAGCCAAGGAGGATTTGGCCAAGGCCCTACGACAATGGCGTATAATCGCATAGCAAATTCAGGGAGGATGCTTGAAACGAACACTGAGAACCTTCTCCGCATGGTATCTATTGGCAAGATTTCTCTTGTTTTCTTTCAAACTTCTAAATCTACTTGCTAAGATATATTTCCAAAATTTTGCTGCTTCAGGTTAGTTACTGTGAAAATGAGGTGGATTGTAGACGTTTCCTACAGCTTGTTCATTTGGGGGAACAATTTGATTCGACAAACTGCAAAAGCACATGTGATAATTGTTCCAGCAGCAAAAGTTTGATTGACAAAGATGTAACTTTGATTGCAAGGCAACTGGTATAGGAATCATCTGAAGTTCATCATGTAATTTTACCTGCTGGATGTTGCATCGGTGTTGTACCGTAATCTTTTGTGGCTGGATAGGTTGAATTGGTGAAGCTAACAGGAGAAAGGTTTTCTTCAGCTCATATTATTGAACTCTACAGGGGATCTTTAAACCAAACGGTATGCACAACTAACAAGACATTTCTTAACCAGGTTCTGTTTATCCGAAACATTTTTTGTGTCATAAACCATGTTTAATTTATTTCACCGGTGTCATTAAGCCCATGAATCCACTTGAAAGTAATTGTCTTTTGGGTTTTAGGTCAAGAAACACCGACATGAGACTTTGCACCTCCACGGAGCAGGAAAGCATTTAGCTAAAAGTGAAGCCTCTCGTATCTTGCACTATCTTGTGACAGAGGACATTCTCGCAGAGTATGTGAAAAAAAGTGATATATATGGATCTGTATCGTCGTTGCTTAAGGTAAAAATAATTCAGTTTTCACATTTAACTCTGGTTGATGTCATAAAAAAAGATCTGTGTGGATATGTCTTATCGTTACTGAACCTTTTTTGGGTAAAATATTGCTCTTCGCTTTGTTACTTATGCTTAAGACTGAATCTGTCTACACGTAACATTCATTTATCTATCTTTTTGTATAGGTGAATAGATCAAAGGCCGTGTCAATCTTATCTGGAGGCCAGACTATAACAATGAGGTATGACTTAACACTTGAGATGTATCTTTTCGTAATACTCACATGAACTACTTGCAACTAAAGTGAAGCAGTAGCTCAAACGTAGGGAAATGATTTTGGAGCTACGTAAAACTAATACTGCTCACATACAACCTGGACTCTGTCTGTTCTTACTGCAATTCCATTACTGCTACTACTCTCAATTATCTCGAGAGAGCTAATAGATTCTCTTGAAAAAACATCGGACGAAACTTTTGCATATCTTTCGCAGATTTCCTTCGGCTGTAAAAGTATCAAAGCCGAGCAAATCCGGAGCAAGCGCAGCAAAAGTTACTCTAAAGCAAACTACTCTTCAAATGGCACATGCTCCCCCACAAGATTCGGTATAGATCTTCTTGTATCCGTTATTATTCTTCCTCAACGATTTTCAACTACCAACTCTGTATACTATAATGCAAAGTTTTTGTTCATTTATCTCGTTTTCGGGCTAGATTCTCTCCGATGTCTTGCTCAGAGCCTTGAAAAAGCTTCGTGCCGATATAGTCAAGGAAGCCTCAAATGGAGTCATGGCACCATACCATGTATTCGGGTAAAGTTTAAAATCCGTTTCATGACATTTTTCTTGTCTCTTACTCAGGTCACAAAGTAATAACAAAATCCCTTGTGTGTTTATAGCAAAACGACCCTTAAGCAGATAAGTGAACGGCTTCCTAGAACCAAAGAGGAACTCCTCGATATCAATGGTCTTGGAAAGTAAGCTTTTTTTTAAACTCTAATAACGACCAAAGCAATGAAGAAAACTCGGTTGATGTTTATCTCTTTTAAACTCTAAACAGAGCTAAGGTGAGCAAGTACGGGGACCGTTTATTGGAAGTTATAGAATCATTCATCAACGAGCATTACAAAACCGGTAAGGATGCTGGTCCTGGGTCAGGGAAGAGGAAAAGAGACGAGAACATTAGTCCAAATGTAGCAGCAGAAGATGATGATTATGAGTGGACTCCAAGTCAATCCCACAAAAAGGCAGTGAAGAACAAATAGTACAGAGTTCCCTGCTTGTTACTGATGATGGAAATATTAGTTACAATTTGTTTGCTGCTATACGAATATCCAACTCTTATAACCTCAAACTGAATGTGAAAAGCTATATATTATCGATTCGTTATAATTCTTTTATGGGCTTTTTTGTTCTGTATGATTAGGGCTTATGATTTTATTTTAACAAAGAGAAAGATGTTTCATTTATGATCCTAATTGCACAAATTAGGCAAAGAAGAATGGGCTAAAAGCCAATTCCTTTTTGTTGAAACATTACATTTGCAAAGAAAAGAAAAAAAAAAAAAAAAACAGAAACAAGATTTGTTCTTCCAAATTATAGCTTACAACAATTCAGAATAAAACTGAGTAAAGGAGATAACTTGCGCTGTAAGTAAACTAAGAACACGAACCGGTCAGTTGCCATGTTCAAATAAACCGGTGCCCTTGAATTTCTCTTCCATCAATCCGTCGATTCGAGCAGCCATCTCGGGAGTCAGATAGTTCTGCCAATCTCCGACCTTACCTTTCCTGAAATAAGCGCTATTCGGATAAAAGCCAGAAGGAATGTCTTCTCTGAATTTCTTAGCTTTGATGTCCTCTCTGTCTTTCTCTCCTTTGTTGGCTTCAAGATTCTTCAACGACTCGAAACTGCAAAGATCCACAACTCTCTCAACAATCCCTTTCTCCTCTTCCTCAGCTGTGAATCCACAACCCATAAACTCGGCCAATCTCTTCACGTACGGCACAGGATCAGCCCTCATCGTCTCGTACCTGAGGAACAGAATCTGCTCCGGATTCTCTTGGTAAGCTTTCCAGTAGGACATGACATGGTCTAGGTAAGGACCATACAAAGAGAAACCTCGACAGAACATATCAAAAGACTCCTCAAGACTATTGAGAGGGCCATTTTCAGATCTTTCCCTTTGGAAGAAGTTCCACATGGAGACAAAGGTGTCCTTTGGGTCTCTCCAGATGTAAACCATCTTACTGCCCGATTTCGAGATCGACTCGGGTAATAACCCGTGCGGGATATGAGTCGAGAACAGAGTGTTCCCTTCGCCATCTTGAGGGAACAAAGGAAACTCAGCCTCAATGAAGGGAACGAGCTCGTGAGGGTTGAGTTTCAGGAGAGGGTTTGATGAATCGTCAAAGCGAGATCGGTTTGCGATGGTGAAGGTTAGAGATTTGAGCCATGTGGTACCTGACTTTGGGTAGCTACAAACGAAGAAGTCAATGGGTCGCGCTTGGAAGAAGTCTTGCGCGTGAAGCCAACCTTCAAGGAGAGGCTGTACTATCCAGTGACCACCGTACTCGATCAGGGGAGCGTTCGGTCTCCAGCCTTTGGCGTGAGCAAAGGTGGAGATTAGGTCTTGGTACCGTTTCTGATTGTTCTTGAACTCTCTCTCGGTCTCATTTTGGTGGTTTGGTAGGGTGGTATCGGTTATGGTTTCTGATTCCATTGGAGAAAGGGAAATAAGATATTGTGAGGACTTGTCTTGTGTTCTGTGAGAGATGAGTGATATGGTGGTCTGTGTTATGCATGAAGCTATTTGTACCCAAAAGACGAGAGGATATGCCCAAAAGAATAAAAAGAAACAAAATCTGATTGGGTTTAGTCACACCCTTTTCATATGTGTCAATCATGTATGACTAAACAAAGTTTCCCTATGTATAAAGAAAATACTACATGACATAAATAGAAGATGATCTTTAGATAAAGGGAATCTTTGCCAAATGGCAAAAATCTATTGAAAAATTTATATGACAAGGTATTTGTATATCTGAAAAGAATGGAAAATATCCCAAAAAAAATCTGAAAAAATTAAAATTAATAAACACACCTTATCTTCTAAGATTAAAGATATATATGCAGTAAGTTTGCCATAATTACCACTAAACTAAATAATTTAAATAAAAATAAATTAATATTGATAGAAAATAAGTTAAAAAAAACGCTGCAAACTAATAATGTTTTTGATATAAGAAAAAAAATTATAAATTGTAAATTTATCAAAAGTTCTAGAGATAAAAATCTAGGTGGCTATTTAAATTGCCTTATTAAATGAGCATAGTCATTATATTAATATATCGATGCATGTTTTGTGAAAATTACATGTAGAATTATTATGTAAATCTAATTTGGCAGTTAGTTATTTTTCTACCACGGTTTTACTATTTAAATAAAGAGTGCAAATGTTACCGCTAGCCCAGCCTAGGCAGTGTTTGATGGGGAGAAAGCCCATAAAAGTTTTTATAGCCCATTTAAAGTAGACCTAGAAAGAAATCATAGCCCAGAAGTTGTCGAAATTTGAAGGTGAAACGACTGTTTTAGTATATCGATGCATGTGTTGCAAGAGTGCGAGAGAATTGAAGTCATGAGTAGGTTTCGTAACGTTCTCGCGGTTCTGCATAGTTGTTTAGTAAAGTTTTCTCGCATAACTATTTTACAAAGTTTTAGTTTTGTCATTGTTTTGTAAAGTTTTCTTGCAGAATCCAACATATATATTTTTGAATATATGGAGTTATATTTGATATATCGCATACATAAAGAGGAATTGCAATGTAGGTTATGATTGCTCTCAGTATAAAAGCTTATTGTTGTGTGCGAAAATGATGATTGCTTTTGGAAATTTGCAAGCGTAATGGAAAAAGATGAAACAACTAAACATTGATGTAGATTACAAAATACATGATGTGCATAAAAATGTTCTGCCGAGAGTTGAAAATTTTCAGAAGAGAGAATTACGTCAAAGGTCGTTGGACAAGACGTTTTAGTCTTTTTTTGGTATTAGTGAGGTACTTTAGAGAAACCATTACTTAAAATTATGGATTAACGTTAACCTATCACCCATTTTGGAAACTTCACAGGATGTTTATAAAACTGCTCTGTGCTCAGAGCTAGGTTCTCTCGAAAATGGTTAAGAATAACTCCACAAATACATATACAAGATATGAATATATAAGACAAACCATGAACATGTAGGTGACCTTGAACTTGATGATGAGCAAAGATTTAAGTATCTATCTTTTTATGTATCTCGTTTTTTCTCAGATTTAAAATTTATGAAAATAAAATTATTTTATTTTTTAAAAACTTGGATAACTATTTGCTTAAAATATAATTTATATCATAAATTGGTATTATTAACATAAAGGCATATCAATTTTAATCATTTTATTATTAGATACATATTATTACACACTCACAAACAAACACAATTACTTTATTTTTTTTGGCATCAACAAACAAAATTACTTGTAAATACAATATTTAAGTGCAAACACCGAAACTAAAAATGAACAACAACTCGATATTGCATCCGCACATACTGCGTTTGGATGCAACATCTGAATACATTACTGAATACTTTATGTGAATACACAAATGAAAAGCCCCGAAACAAAGTTCTTCTTCCGAATTATAACTTACTACAATTTGGAATAAAACTGAGTAAAGGGGCAAACTTGTGCTGTAAGTAAACCAAGAACACGAACCGCTCACTTGCCATGTTCAAGCAAACCGGTGCCCTTGAAATTTTCTTCCATCAATCCATCAATTCGAGCTGCCATCTCCGGAGTCAGATAGTTCTGCCAGTCTCCAACCTTTCCCTTCCTGAAATAAGCACTATTCGGATAAAAGCCAGAAGGAATGTCTTCTCTGAATTTCTTAGCTTTGATGTCTTCTCTTTCTTTCTCTCCTTTGTTGGCTTCAAGATTCTTCAGCGTCTCGAAGCTGCAAAGGTTCACAACTTTCTCAACAACCCCTTTCTCCTCTTCCTCAGCTGTGAAGCCACAACCCATAAACTCAGCCAATCTCTTCACGTACGGCGAAGGATCATCTTTGATAGTCTCGTACTTGAGGAACAGAATCTGATCCGGCTTCTCTTGGTATGCTTTCCAATAGGACATGACATGATCTAGATAAGGACCATACAAAGACAAGCCTCGACAGAACATATCAAAAGACTCCTCAAGACTATTGAGAGGGCCATGGTCAGACCTTTCCTTTTGGAAGAAACTCCACATGGACACAAAGGTGTCCTTTGGGTCTCTCCAGATGTAAACCATCTTACAACCCGATTTCGAAATGGATGCGGGTAATAACCCGTGCGGGATATGAGTCGAATAAAGAGTGTTCCCTTTGTCATTGGGAACATCATCTTCAGGGAACAAAGGAAACTCGGCCTCAATGAAAGGAACAAGCTCGTGAGGGTTAAGTTTAAGGAGAGGGTTTGAGGAATCATCAAAGCGAGATCGATTTGCGATCGTGAAAGTTAGAGCTTTGAGCCAAGTGGTACCTGACTTTGGGTAGCTACAAACGAAAAAGTCAATGGGTCGTGCTTGGAAGAAGTCTTGCGCGTGAAGCCAACCTTCCAGGAGAGGCTGCACTATCCAGTGACCACCGTACTCGATCAGAGGAGTTTTCGGTCTCCAGCCTTTGGCATGAGGAAGTGTGGCGATCAGGTCTTGGTACCGTTTCTGATTCTTGTCGAACTCTCTTGACTCTCTCTCGGTCTCGTCATGGTGGTTGGGTAGGGTTGTATCGGTTAGGGTTTTTGATTCCATTGGAGATAGAGAAAGAGGATGTGAGGACTCCTCTTGGGTTCTGTGGGAGTTGATTTATATGGTCTGCGTCCGGATGAAGATTGGATTGGGGTTAGTCTTGCATGAAGCTATCTGTACCCACGTGTAACGTGTTACATTAGAATCTTGTAAGAGTAACCGAAAGAGAGAGGAACTTGTAATTCTATGACCTTCAAACTAAATGTGTTTTTAATAAAGAGAAACTTTTCCAAAGTGCCAAAAAAGTAAAAAATGTATATCATATAATGTCATATATACAGAAAATAACCATTTCACTATGAGACAATTATGAAAAGAATCCAAAAAAACGGACTGGGTTCACAGTCACTGTGATATGGCATTTTTCAAAGAAAAATTGAAAATAGTAATACTGTATATCATAGAGGGAAGATGATCTTTATCTTTAAATAAAGGGGAATTGGCTCATATAATCATATCAATGCCTATAATTCAGAAAATAATCATACCAATATAGAGGTTATTATATTCTTTGTATATTCTACAATATATACAAAATTGTCCTTGTTTGTTTTTCTTTCTCCTTCGATCTTCTCTTCTCCTTTCATCCTTTTCCCCTCACTTCCCCTCTGCTCATCTCCACTCATCCCATCTCTCCTCCTTCCCTTCCCCCCTCCTCGCCTCCTCCCCTCCTCTCTCTCGATGTCTTCTCTTTTTTTCTCTCTTTAATATAGTATAGTAAATATAATTAAAATCTCAAGTACTATACTATATTAATCTTATCGTGTAAGACCATATATTATAGTATAGTCCGGAAAAAAATCATTTGTTATAATCAAAACTATTTTCTATATATGTTCTCGGTTTAAAACAAAAGGAGTTTTTGGTCTTTTTAATGTGGGGTATGGTTATTTTTCATATTTTTTGAATAACATGGCTATATTCTTGTATTCTTTCACAAATATGGTTAGATTGCAAATTAACCTTTAAATAAAGGTAAACTTCGCCAAATGGCAAATTTCTGTTTAAAATATATTATATTTCATGTATAAAAGACATTACCATTCACTTTATATCCGATAAATACAGGAAAAAATCCAAAACCGAAGGGCATCTTGTAATTGTAAATTACCATTTGTAACACCTTTTAAGGAGTAATTACTTTAATTTTCCATATGGCAAAAAAAGTACTGTATATATATATATATATATATATATAAGATATGGTATAAATAAAGAAAATGACCATTTTCCAGATAAAAACTCAACTAATAAGTTATAGTATATCTTATAACACTAAAAATATAATTATCTGGAAAGTTACAAAAACTGTTCGAGAAATAATATTTTTTAAAATAAAAAATCAGCGAATAACATATAGGTTTTCAATGTCAAAACGAAAACAATTAGAAGATAAATAAAAATTTTAAAGATATTTTTTTGTAGTAAAAATTGACAGAAAAAATATAACGGATACATTTCTTATATCTAAAGTCTAAAAAATGGAAAATAAACCAAAATTCTAAAAAAAAAAGATAAAAAGTAATAAAAATACTATGAGGAGTTTGATTTAATAATATTTATTTAGAAAAAAATATTGTTACCCAAAAGTTATCCAAAAATAATTGTTTAGAAAGTTACAAAAGTCGGTGGAGAAAATAGATATTTTATATAGTTAAAAACTGACGGATAACAAATATATCTCTTGTGTAAAATATTTGAAAAATCTGAAAAAATCAAAAATCCAAAAATATTTTTTAATAGTAAAAAAATCGGTAGATAACAAAATCTTTCATGCCAAATATCCGAACAATTAGGGAACAAATCAAAATTCCAAAGACAAAGAATATATAAAGATAACAATAAATAATATCGTGTGCTTGAATTTTTTTATGCCATATATAAAAGACATTACCATTCACTTTATATTCGGTAAATACAGAAAAAATTCTAAAACCGAAGAGCATCTTGTAATTGTAAGTTATAATTTGTAACACCTTTTAAAGTTGTAAGTTATAACTTACAATTTGTAAAACCTTTTAAAAAATGGGAAACTTTAATTTGCCAAATGGCAAAACAATGTTCTGTATGTATATAAAATATGGCATAAATAAAGAAAAATGATCATTTCCCGAAAAAGCTAAAAAATAAGCTATAATATATTTTATAACACTAAAAATATAAATTAATTTTGATATGATTATCTAGAAAATTACAAAAATCAACAGAGAAAAAAAGATGTTTTTGTAGTAAAAAATTGGTAAATAACAAATACATTTCGTGTCAAATACCAGAATAATTGGAAAATAAATCAAAATTTTAAAGATAATTTTATATGGTAAAGAACTCGCAGATAATATATAACAGATACATCTCTCATCTCAAATCCAAAAAATTAAAAAAACAAACCAAAATTTCAAAAACAAAGAAAAAATAAAAGGTAATTAAAAGTACTATCGAAAGTTTGATTCAATAAAATTTATTTACAAAAAGATTTAATTATCCAAAAGTTGTCCAAAGGAATTGTCTGAAAAGTTACGAAAATTCGGATGGAGAAAATTTATATTTTAATATAGTGAAAAATCAGTGGATACTAAATATGTCTCCCGTGCCAAATGCCCGAAAAATCTTAAAACAAAGCAAAAATCCAATATATTTTTTTGTAGTAAAAAAAACCGATGGCTAACGAATAACATATATATCTTCTATACCAAATGTCCGAACAATTTAGAAACTGATGTAAGAGTTTTCACACTAAGACTTTCCACTCAGCAAGTTCAGCAGCAGAATCAACAGTGCAAGGTAAAGCTTCACAAGAGATTGCATTGCAGTATCCCCTTGGATTAGCTTCACGTTTTCTAGGAAGTTGACCTTATGTTTTGGAGTTTGAAGCTATACCCTTGTTGTTCTCGAAGGTCTTGACTCTAGAGTTCAAACCCTCAATATTGGAAGAGAGCTCCTCATATTGGCTGTCCATCTTGTTGTGTATTGCATCAAACACCTTATTCCACTCCAAAGCCTACTTAGCTTGCCCATGTAGATGTTCTAGGAGCATGTTTTTCACCACGACATCTTGAGTGGGAGAGTCAGTACTTGAACCTTGTTAATGAGGTTGGGCAAAGCTCGAGTGTGTGTTCCATTAATGAGCAAACCCACTGGTGTGGCTTCCTTGAGGGTCTCATCGGATCGATCGGTCCCTCCCGGATCGATCGGTCCAAAATGTCTCGGGGAAACTTCGACCAAACGGATCGATCGATCCAGTGTGGGATCAATCGATCTAAAATCCCTCGGACAAATCTTCGGCTTTCGGATCGATCGATCCCTCACGGACCGATCGATCTAATATCTCTCGGGCAAATCTTGTCTCCTCGCTTCTTTTGGATCGATCGATCCAATATAGGACCGATCGATCTGCACTCCGGAAAAGACTGAATTTGCTCCTTTTCTTTATTTCTTCCTTTGCACTGTCTTGGAATCCATCCAAACGTGTTTTGACCTGTAAAGACTCTAAAAGCACTAAAAAGACTCGATAAAAACCTTTGAAAATCAGTTAGAAATCAGTAAAATCATAGTATATCACTGACCATACACATAGTGAGCTCCTTGTTGGAAAGGCTTGTTCACTTTCTCATGGAAAGCATGCATTACTTGTACCTAAAACATCACTCAAGTAAATGAGTCAATAACAAAATAAAAACAGCTTAGTCTTGCAAACAATCAAAATCTTAATGATCACAAACCCCAAAGGGCAACGGTGCCAAATTGAGACAAGAGTTTTCGCATTCTTGTGACTTAATTCTTTAAGTCCTATGATCCTGTCATTGTAGCACTTAAGGTGTCAATCCAATCATGGATGTGAATCATTGAGAATACATGAATAAATGCAAGCTAAACCAAGTAAAATAAGTTGTTTAGAAGTCTAACACCCTAAGTGATCAATCAAAAGAGTGAAAGAAGACAATAGACTAGAGTGCAAGGCAAGTAACTAAGCAATTTGAACTCAAGAACATAGCAAAACAAAGTAAAAACAGAGCAAATTCGAAATGAGACAAGCATGTGTCTTAGGATGGGGTTATTGATTCAACAATGAAATGGCAGTCAATCCTTGATGTGCAAACTTAACCAATAAGGCTAATCCTTCAGCATAGAACTCTAAACATGAAGATCAGTCCAATCTCTTGACAAAGATCTATTTACTAACAACTTAACCAAAGCTAATTCTCATTAGTGATTAAGCAATTAACAAGCATTAAATACCAGTTCTATCAAGCCAAGATACTCCCTAGTCATCCATTCTCATGTGTAAGGATAAGTAATCTCCTAAATGATTGGCTCAAGCATTTCATCAAACACTTTTGGTGCAGTAAAAGCCTAGATTCAAAATCCTAGTGGGTTTGCAAGGATCAAGTATTAAAAACATCAAGAAGGAAAGGATCAATCATATTAAACACTAAACATAATCAACCACTAAATCATCATGGATCCAGCCCATCCTAAGAACCCTAAGAGAACTATTCAGAACACATAGATAACCTAGCGAAATTCATAGATTCATAAACAGAAAACATAATTAAAAGCAGTAGTAGCATGATCAAAATCAGAAAATGCAAACTGTTAATTGAAACTTAAAATATTGCTTAAAAAACCAAGAAATTATGGGTAAAATCTTAAGAACAAGAGAGTGAATGTTTAGTTCTCAAAAAGCCTAAAAGATAAGATAATAGATGATAATATCAATTATTGATAAGGTTTGCTTAAATAGTCAAAGGATTAAGGCTTGGTCAATGGTTAAAACTCGGAAGTTGACCAAAGTCAAAACCAGAAAAAAAACCAAACGAAGGAGGTCGCCATGTATACACTGTGGAGTAGAAGCCGGTGTGAGTGTCCGGTGCAACTCCCTGAAATCTCGGGCTGATTTCTTCCAAGGTGTGCAAGCCGGTGTGAGTGCCCGGTGTAACTCCCAAAAGTCTTGGGCTGATTTCTCCAGAAGTGTAGATGCTGGTGCGGGTGCCTGGTGCAACTCT